GTAAAAATTACTCGGTGGTGGATCATTCATCAGCTCATACCCGATCACGTTTGAATATTTGCAGAATCGTTTTGCCACTGTCTCCCAAAACTGGCCCCAATATTCCCATGTCCCTGACACATTGGTGTACAGCTGTTCCGCGCAGTTAACACACGCATAGGTTAGATAATTGTCATACCATCTGTCAGGTACTTTCGGATAAGGCCAAGGATAGGAAACGTTGGCCGGTGGTTTTGGTAGCTCATCAACCAGCCACGTCGGTATCCCATCGTAAGTGCCAAATCGAGTCGATAGCACATCTTGGTGCATATCCAGCAACACGTAGATACCGAATTCATCGCATGCTTTGACGATCTCTTCCATCTGTTGCAAATATTCTTCACTCACAGTTCCCTTACTGGGCATCACCCCGGACCACATGATGCCCAGACGAACCACATTGATTCCCCATGATTGGAACATTTGCAGTTGTGTACGGTTGGTCATCTGTTCATTATACCACGGTGGTCCCTTGTTGACTGAGTTGAATCCGTGGAAGAGAAGAACCCTGTTACTGGCATCCACAAAATAACCATCTTTGTTCAGACGAACTTTGTCTAACTTTGCCTGTACCACATTCGGAAGCAAACAGCATAGAATCACAATGACTGCCTCCGTGATGATCAACCGACACATTTTCTCGCGCTATCTCTTAGCTGGTTTACAGTTGACAAACGTTTGTCTTAAATATGGAGTAAACGGCATGCATAGTGTTCTGATTGGTCTATCCAGTGAATTGATCACATTGTTGCACATCCTGGTCTCGGATGCACAAATATCAGTTGCTTTCGTTGTTGTTAGATGGTTCCCCGAGCTACAAGTATTGTTCGCAGACTTTTTTTCACTCATGCTAGGTAACAGTATCTGTGTCATTTCTCAAAGATTTATCGTCTCTAATAACGGAATTCACAGTCCTCTTCTGAATAATTTTGATTATTTTATTACAATAACTACTAGGTTGCATTGGAAGTCTTCTGTTCTCTTAGTCGAATCACCACCTCGTTGTCCGTATATCCTCGTATAGTCTCAAGTCACAAAGACTGCGAGCCGGGAAAATCCTATCACGCATCCGTGTTGATGCCACTGCGCTTTGTGAGCCCGGAGTAAGCTCGTATTACACTTGGAATTGTGAGCAGGATGGTCCTCCTTATCCCTCTTCTTGTGCATTGGAAACCGAGGAAAACGTTCCTCGAGGGAAGGACCGATGTAACGCTTGACAGCTACCGCCATTATTAATAAAATGTTTGTTTGCATCTCCATAAAACTTTTGGGCTATTTTTGTCTTGTAGATCTACCATAAACCTCTATCCACGGAGAACCTTTCTGACCGTTATTCTTTGCTATCTCAACTCTGGCACCAATGGTAACGTGGGCACAAAAAGAGTAGATGACGGTACGAAAGTCGATCTGAATCGGAGGTAACGAATGTTTCATTCTTAACGAAATTCGCCACACCTCTCGCCGAAAGCAGCAGACACAATGATTGGACGCAAGGAACATACAGGAGTGTTTATTATAGCAACCACAATAGTTGCGAATAATGATACAAGTCAATTTGGGGAGAAGGGTGTCAGAGTTTGTATTACTCATGTATCATCTTGTAGTTCTTGGGATTTTGTCTGTTGCACTTCTTCCGCACCTAAACTGTTTACCCACTTCATACATGGAAAACTGGGAAAAACAGCAGTCACTTGTGATATTGTCAGTATTTTTGTTCTGTTCAGTTTACCCTCCGTTAAACCGCTCGACTCTGTTCTTAACCTCTACCAACCGGTACATTAAAGGTTTGAAAAAGGGAACGATTCCGGTCGGAATTGTTACTACATTTTGTTAAATCATTCTTTGAGTAGGATCTATTGTGTGATCAAACGGGTGTTCACTTTCAAGGTCTAAGGGGTGAATGGACCTTGTGAATGTTTTTCACGCTCGTAGCATTCACAATCCGTATTTGCTCAATTAACTGCCATATGTAAATGCACCCAGTTGCTTTCATTCAATGAAGAATGTCTGAAATTCACATCATTATGCTTTTCTATTTGATTCAAGTAATCCATCTTTGGTAAACGTTTTAACGGTTTCAAGAAAAGATAGTATTCGTTTCTGCGGTATAGATAACCGAACAGGAACGACACTTTCAGCGATCTATGTTACAGGTTGCTAATTTACCCCCAATTAAAGTGTTTGCAATTCGAAGTGCTGGCTATGTTCGAGCGTATCACCATGTCTTTTATGCCATTTTCTAGTGACTAACAACTGATTTTTTCTGATGCTTGTGAAAAATTAAGTAGTTCTTTCATCAACAACAACTCTTCACACTTGAGAGATTCACTTCTACCATCAACCGGGAGGATTTATCACCCCGTGTTATCGGAAGAAAACAAAGCAATGGCAGATTATTGCTTATCGAGATTACTATTGTTGCTACTGCTGCTACTACTACTACTACTACTACTTATCGAGAGACAGCAAAGTGAGATATTACAACGCTTTTTGGAGGCTTTTCACACAACGTTTTTGTTTCCAATGCACTAACAGGATCGAAAACGGCCTTCGCGTAAAAAAAGGTGCCACTCCAAGCAAACGCGGTAGCAAACCGGTTATTGATAACCACGTTTTGCGATGTGCAACCGTGTATTTAAACGGAATTCGCAGGAAATTCGATTTTTTGTTTAAAAGCTCACCTTCAACACGGTTTATACAATAACAAACAGGAAGCACACGACAGTAGAATTTCTTTCCATATATATTTCCCGCCGTGTTGTATTTTGTATCACTTGAATATGATTTGGAATCCATGCTTCAAAGCTTCCCTAAGATTACAGTATGAATAGACGCAAATTGATAAAAGATTCAGCGTCACAAAAACAGCTGAAAAGTATTCATAATTATGTGTATCAAATGTCTGCCAAAACAACCTCTCCACCATCTACAGTATTCTAGGTGATTCTAGGGCAAATTTCTGCTTTAGTTATCTGATCTATATTCATTTGGTTCTGTAGGTTTTATGGGCAATCAAGGGGGAATATATGAATGGAACCGTCCGTTTCGTCTCTTAGTTTATTTCGTACATCGCATCATGCACAGGCACGCAAACAGCAATACCTCTTGGGTTCGAATTCGTCTATTCATTGGTAAATGTTTTAGGATGTTTACGGAAATAACATAGTTTTACGAAAACATATCTTTCGATCTTATCATCTATCAACACAGGGTCCCTTCTTTATCTGTTCTATGTTGGGCACTATAAATTTAATATCCCATGACTCTAGAGATACGAAACGTTTGAAGAAAGTGAACAGTTATGCTTTCAAACATTTCTTATACATAAATGGAATCACTGGGGAATCGTTCTATAGCCACTTGATTTTTGTGTAACTAAGTTTTACTCATATAGATCAGTGTGAGTTCTCGAGGATAAATGATAACACGCTTCAACCCAACAGGGCTTCAGAGGAAAAGCCAGTTCAAAGTATTGAAAATCGGTTCTCGTAGCTAGGGTGAACTGAATTCTATTTCGCCTGTTCGCCGAGCTTGGCAATTTTTTTGCAAACGTTTCATCACCAGCCGAGGTGACATCATCAGTGCTTGTGAAGTAGCAGTCTTCTGCTTGTGTCCGTTCGTTTATATATGTGTTCTCCACCGACCATTGTTGTCCCTTGTTGTCATTGTGTTCGACTGGGTTCGTCGTTAAACTGGTGCTTGGGGGCGAGGTTGGTAGGGGGGAGGTGGTTGTCCATCCGTCGTGATTGCGGTTTAGGTCCGTTCTCAGGTCACGCCATGACCTTTCTGTTGCGTCATTTGATCCTTGAGTTGCCTTGGCGTGTACACATGATCCAGTTCAATGTGCCTTTTGATTGAAGAGTGCCAAGCTTCGAGAAATTCCGATAAAACTGAGTCCCAGAAGTTGTCTAGCCTTTAGTTGAATTGTTCACAGCTACAATAGCTAGTGGTACTTCATTCGTTCACAGAAGAATTAAGCGCCAGCACTCCTGTTGTCCCGTGGTTTCATCGGTTTCACCTCGTATCCTCTGAGGGGTGGATTCTGGTTGAGATTAAACAGTGATCTGTCATTTACTGGGGAACCCCTTCAGCAGATCAAACTCCGCGATTACCCTTCCTCCTTGTCCGGTCGTCACGGGCAAAACAAAAACAAGTCAGGAGCCGTAAGGTGGTCCTTGTGAAACCTCCTTTGGATCCAGGAGAGCATTCTGGTAAACCGCTGCTGAGCGAATCCGGGCAATTGTTTTCCCCTCGGGAGGACAAATAACTACTCCTGTACACAATACTCCTAGTGTGGGCGCGCCGATGCCTCGTACGATGGCAGAAATATAGTAGGTTCCGTTGATGTCTAGGTTAAACGGAGCTAAAATAAAATTTTGTTGGTTTTGGCCGCGGTCCCCTGGCGGTCCGGGTTGACGACAGATAATTAAAGTGTTTTTCATTCTCTACTAGAGAAAAATAGACCTTTCAGAGGGTTCGTCAACTAGGTAGGCCAATTCAACAAAGACTTTTAGACTTTAGGCATTTTACAATGAGGATTAACATTCATGATTCTTTTTGCCAACGACCCATTTCTTCCATGAGAGTTTATACATTGACATTTTAAGGGTTGTAAAAGAAACGAACGGCTGATTCTCCACTGCCGCTGTGTTCGGATGACATCAGATTAGGTGAACGAAGCCAAAAGAGGCTTGATGCACTTCAATGTTCTGTTTATGCGTCAACTCTAAGTGATTAAGTGATTTTGAAGTAATTATTACTATTTTGGCAGAACATGCGGTTTGAGCAAGCATTAGACGAAATACCTTTAGCCTTATATGACTTTATTAGGTTCCAATCCAGTAAAGTGTGAAAGACAATAACCTAATCAACGTTTTCTGTCGAATCCTTAGCTTTGTGGACTGCAGCAGGAACTCTGTTAGACGACTAGGACAGAAGGTGGATCAATATAATGCAAGGATAACGCTCTCATTACTGTCGATTGAGGCGGGCAAAGAAAAAAACACGGTTTAATGTCGAAGAAATCATACTCTAATGGATTAGGTAATTTCTTGCACGATCGTTCTGTATCGCACTCTGTTTTAAATGGAGTTATTAATTTTGCTCCCTTGCGTGAAGGGCGATGATCAAGATGATACAGTGCGCTCCAATTAGAAGGATGGGCAAGACACTCCTTGTTGTTCTTCATTAAGCAGTAACTGACGTCGCCAGCAGCCCTCACTTTCATCTCCTGGTTCTCTCAGATGAAAGTTGTTTGTTTTCCTATATAGACGGAAAGTTCATCCTAGGAGATTGATCTGATAACACATCCAACCAAATAGTCGGTAGCAATGAATTACCTATGAATTTAAACTCATAATTAACAAACAAGTTCCTAGGTTTGAAAACTATAGTTCAGGGAAACATGAATTTGAGTTGTGAGAAGCTTAATCCTTTCTGTTTTTGTCGTGTAGAGTGAAGGTCAAATCTCTTCATAGTTTGCACATATCTGTAGTATCAACATAAGATGAAAAATTAAAAAATTAAAACTTCACGCTTCGTATTCATCTTGAATTGACTCCAGTAGCACCACATTCTACCAGTAGAGTCCTTTTTAACAGGTAGATATTATTGGCTTGATACAAACGGGACTCTTC